ATATAATTCATTATTTCATAACGAGGCACCTGAGAAAAAAAAAAAAAAAAAACCCTAAACCCTAAACCCTAAACCCTAAACCCTAAACCCTAAACCCTAAACCCTCATAAACCCTCATAAACCCTAAAATAACCCTAAACCCTTGTAAACCCTAATAAACCCTTGTAAACCCTAATTTAGTATAATAAACCATAGGGAGGCGTAATCAGAAAACATAAAGCTAAACCCTAACCTTATAACACAACAAGATCCTGTAATAAGTTCCAAACCCTAAACCCTAAACCCTAAACCCTAATTTAGCTTACCGCCGTGATAGGTAACCATTGATGTGCAGAGACGGAGATATTCCTAAATGTTGGATCCTTTAATATATCTAAACTATCCACCACTAATGATCTATAAACAAATAACAAAAAGAGCAAATAAGGGTTTAGGGTTTAGGGTTTAGGGTTTACTAGGGTTTAGGGTTTACGAAGGATATATATGGATATGCAGATATATACAACACAGACCTTATAATACCAACCATCTAGGGTTTAGGGTTTATTAGGGTTTAGGAGATTAAGAGTACATCTGTATATCCAATTAGCACAAAGTTCCCTTTAGGGTTTATTAGGGTTTAGGGTTTAGGGTTTAGGGTTTAGGGTTTACCTAACGTTGAATACTTCGCATGTCCTAGCTAAACCCCCTAAATTAGGTAATTTATTAACTAAGGAGGCAATAACAATTAATTGTCCCCTAGGGGGAGGAGAAGAAGAAGAAGAAAAAGAAGAAGAAAAAGGAGATAAAAAAGAGACAGGGGAGATAGAAGAAGAGACAGTTGTCTCCTTTAATGAAGAAACACTTGATGGTAGCTGCATGCAATAAATAACACAACAAATAAATAAACATATTTCTTATTAATTTATTAGGGTTAATTAGGGTTAATTAGGGTTAATTAGGGTTAATTAGGGTTTATTAGGGTTTATTAGGGTTTATTAGGGTTTATTAGGGTTTAGGGTTTAGGGTTTACATATTTTCTTTGACAAGGTCCTGGTCCATGATCATCATAATGAATATATTTTTGTGTATTTATTTCTTCTTGTTGTATCCCTTCTTCTTGCTGCTGTTGTTGCTGCTGTTGTTGCTGCTGTTGTTGCTGCTGTTGTTGCTGCTGTTGTTGCTGCTGTATATCCCCCCTACCTTCTCCACCGCTACCACCATCACCATCAGCAGCACCATCAGCAGCACCATCAGCAGCACCATCAGCAGCAGCAGTAGCAGCAGCACCATCACCATCAGCAGCAGCAGCAGCAGCAGCAGCAGCAGCAGCAGCAGGAGGAGTATGTAGATAATTATGCCATAATATAGCCATTTGTTGTTGAACAATTTCTTTTAATAAAATTGTAAATGACCAACAAGGACGTAAATCATAATCACACATTACTGCTGCTCCTGCTGCTGCTGCTGCTGCTGCTGCTCCTGCTGCTCCTGCTGCTGCTGCTCCTGCTCCTGCTCCTGCTCCTGCTGCTGCAGCTGATGCTGCTGCAGCACACGATCCCGATCCAGGTAACCCCACTATTCCTTGACCCATTAGTGTTGCCTCTGTATACAATATAACAACATATACAAAGGTAAGAGCATTAATGCACTAGCTAGCTAGCTAGCTAGCTAGCTAGCTAGCTAGCTAGCTACCTAGATAGGTAGCTAACTAGATAGGTAGGTAACTAGCTAGTTAGGTAGCTAGCTAGCTGGCTGGATAACCAAGTATTAAGCTAGCTAACGGATTAGCTAGCTAACTAGGTATCCGCATAAGCGAGGTAGCTAGCTAGCTAGCTAGCTAGCTAGCTAGCCACGTAGCTAGGCACCGACCTTATTAGCTAGCTTATTAGCTAGCTATATAGCTAGCTAACTAGCTACCTATATATCTAGCTAGCTATGTAGGCTAGCTAGCTACCCAGCTGGTTAGCTAGCTAGGTAACTAGGTAATAAATAAGTAAATAACTTACGATATTGTTGGGGTGTCTGCTGAATAATACCATTAGGAGGTAAAAGGGAAAGAAAATTGAATAAAAAAGGAGAAAAAAAAAGAAAAATATTTTTTATTTTTTTTATCATTAATTTACATTCTTTTGCATTTATTAATATATTATTTATTAATAATAATGTATTATCTATATTCTTTTTTTTTTTTTCCTTCCTCCTCCTGCTGCTGCTGCTGCTGCTGTTGCTGCTGC